CACCGCCACCCCCTCCGCCCCCCTCTCCTGTACATACTGCCCACCGCCATACCCTCCTCCTGTACACACTGCCCTCTGTCATACCCCCCACACTCTTCTCCTGTACACACTGCCCACCGCCATACCCTCCTCCTGTACTCACTGCCCCCCGCCATACCCTCCTCCTGTACTCACTGCCCCCCGCCATACCCTCCTCCTGTACTCACTGCCCCCCGCCATACCCTCCTCCTGTACTCACTGCCCCCCGCCATACCCTCCTCCTGTACTCACTGCCCCCCGCCATACCCTCCTCCTGTACTCACTGCCCCCCGCCATACCCTCCTCCTGTACTCACTGCCCCCCGCCATACCCTCCTCCTGTACTCACTGCCCCCCGCCATACCCTCCTCCTGTACTCACTGCCCCCCGCCATACCCTCCTCCTGTACTCACTGCCCCCCGCCATACCCTCCTCCTGTACTCACTGCCCCCCGCCATACCCTCCTCCTGTACTCACTGCCCCCCGCCATACCCTCCTCCTGTACTCACTGCCCCCCGCCATACCCTCCTCCTGTACTCACTGCCCCCCGCCATACCCTCCTCCTGTACTCACTGCCCCCCGCCATACCCTCCTCCTGTACTCACTGCCCCCCGCCATACCCTCCTCCTGTACTCACTGCCCCCCGCCATACCCTCCTCCTGTACTCACTGCCCCCCGCCATACCCTCCTCCTGTACTCACTGCCCCCCGCCATACCCTCCTCCTGTACTCACTGCCCCCCGCCATACCCTCCTCCTGTACTCACTGCCCCCCGCCATACCCTCCTCCTGTACTCACTGCCCCCCGCCATACCCTCCTCCTGTACTCACTGCCCCCCGCCATACCCTCCTCCTGTACTCACTGCCCCCCGCCATACCCTCCTCCTGTACTCACTGCCCCCCGCCATACCCTCCTCCTGTACTCACTGCCCCCCGCCATACCCTCCTCCTGTACTCACTGCCCCCCGCCATACCCTCCTCCTGTACTCACTGCCCCCCGCCATACCCTCCTCCTGTACTCACTGCCCCCCGCCATACCCTCCTCCTGTACTCACTGCCCCCCGCCATACCCTCCTCCTGTACTCACTGCCCCCCGCCATACCCTCCTCCTGTACTCACTGCCCCCCGCCATACCCTCCTCCTGTACACACTGCCCACGGCCATAGCAGGCGCACCCTTCTCCTGTACGCACTGCCCACCGCCATACCCTCCTCCTGTACACACTGCCCACCGCCATACCCTCCTCCTGTACACACTGCCCACCGCCCTACCCTCCTCCTCCACTCA